AGCAGACCTTCTACAGTGTTCTTATGTGGGATAGCGATGAAGAAGTTCTTGGCAAGTGGTTCAGCTATGTTATAGAAGCCACTATTCTGGTTGAAGTTGTCGGATATAGAAATAAGTGATGATTCCAGGATTCTTCGGTATTGGGTGTTGTCTTCTGTGGCGATAAGTCTTGAGTTTCTGTAGTTTATCAAGTGGTTGTGTGAATTACGGTGTTGTACGCAGGCATTCCTTGTGTCGTCAGACCTGCTTGCGTATTGGTGTTCTGAATACGTGTTTGGAGGTCCTTGATGTTTCGCCCACGTATAACTTGTTGCAGTCATTACAAGGATTATGTATACCCCTGCAGAGGATGGAGGCTTGTCCTGCCTACTACTGGTGATGTTCTTGATGGTCGTGGTTGTGGAGGTAGATACTTGGAATGATGTTTTGGCAAAGATGTTGGAAACATGTTTGGCAATGGAGTTGGTGGGAAGGACTATGTATCTCTTCTCGGCAGTGTCTTCTCTGGGTGTGTTGAAGATGTTTAGTGCTCGCCGTCTGCAGTCTCTGATGAAGTGACGAGGATAGTGGAGTTTGGAAAATACCTGTTCAATTATAGTGCATTCTTCCTCAGGAACTCGTTGCTGCAGATTCTGAGTGCACGCAGGAAGAAGCCTATAATTACACCACGTTTGGTTTTGGTGTCGTGGTGAGAGTAGAAGTGGAGAAGATCGTTTTGGTTGGTTGGGTTTTCGATAGACTTTAAAACGAAGTTCGTGGTCAGCTTTGCAGAGTAGAACATCAAGGAAAGGAAGAGTGTTGTCGACCTCTTCTTCAAGTGTGAACTGGATTGAAGGCTCGACTGGTTGAGCTTGTCTTGGAGAGCTTGAACGTTGAAGCGTTTAGGAGTTATGAGGAGAATGTCGTCAACATAACGGAGCCAGGTGACAGACGAAGGAATAATGGTGGAGAAACGTTCGGCTTCTAGATGTTCCATGTATAGGTTCGCTAGGACTGCACTGAGTGGCGAACCATGGGTAGTCCAAAAGTCTGCTGAAAGAGGTGATTTTCAAAAGAGAAACACGTAAAGCCAACACATAGTTCAAACCAGGTCGATGAGTCGCTGGCTGGAATGGGAAGATCAAGTGAATCGTCAATTTTCTTGCGCAAGAGATCGATGGCTTGTTTAGTAGGTACTTTAGTGAATAGGGAAGTCACGTCAAGGCTGGAAAGTTTCTTTTTTTCCTGATGTTGATGTTGCGAATGCGATTGAGAAGATCACCTGAGTGTTTGAGATGTGCTGACTGATAGTGCCCAAGAGTTTCGAGAGGTGTTTTGGCGAGAATTCCTGAACTTGTGGGGAGCACTGCCTATTCCCGAGGATATGGGCCTCAGTGGGATACCAGGCTGTGAGTTTTTGGGCAGGCCGTACATTTTGAAAATCACCTCTTTCAGCAGACTTTGGACTACCCATGGGTTCGCCACTCAGTGCAGTCCTAGCGAACCTATACATGGAACATCTAGAAGCCGAACGTTTCTCCACCATTATTCCTTCGTCTGTCACCTGGCTCCGTTATGTTGACGACATTCTCCTCATAACTCCTAAAAACGCTTCAACGTTTCAAGCCCTCCAAGACAAGCTCAACCAGGTCGAGCCTTCAATCCAGTTCACACTTGAAGAAGAGGTCGACAACACTCTTCCTTTCCTTGATGTTCTACTCTGCAAAGCTGACCACGAACTCGTTTTAAAGTCTATCGAAAACCCCACCAACCAAAACGATCTTCTCCACTTTTAAAACCCCACCACGACACAAAACCAAACGTGGTGTAATTATAGGCTTCTTCCTGCGTGCACTCAGAATCTGCAGCAACGGTTCCTTGAGGAAGAATGCACTATAATTGAACAGTATTTTCCCAAACTCCACTATCCTCGTCACTTCATCAAGACTGCAGACGGCGAGCACTAAACATCTTCAACACACCCAGAGAAGACACTGCCCAAAAGGATACATAGTCCTTCCACCAACTCCATTGCCAAACATGTTTCCAACATCTTTGCCAAAACATCATTCCAAGTATCTACCTCCACAACCACGACCATCAAGAACATCACCAGTAGTAGGCAGGACAAGCCTCCATCCTCTGCAGGGGTATACATAATCCCTTGTAATGACTGCAACAAGTTATACGTGGGCGAAACATCAAGGGACCTCCAAACACGTATTTCAGAACACCAATACGCAAGCAGGTCTGACGACACAAGGAATGCCTGCGTACAACACCGTAATTCACACAACCACTTGATAAACTACAGAAACTCAAGACTTATCGCCACAGAAGACAACACCCAATACCGAAGAATCCTGGAATCATCACTTATTTCTATATCCGACAACTTCAACCAGAATAGTGGCTTCTATAACATAGCTGAACCACTTGCCAAGAAACTTCTTCATCGCTATCCCACATAAGAACACTGTAGAAGGTCTGCTCACAAACTTGTCCAGTCTCCTTTCCAAGCTACCCAAGTTTTTAGACTCTACAACCCAACTCGGTACATCATCAGATGCAGCATTCTTCACCTGACCTCAGCCGGACTATAAATACTCGCGTTCCTTCCACCCCAGGTAGTTCTGTTTGTGACTTGAAAAAGCCCACTGTGTGGGCGAAACGTAGTCAATAAAGGATCACATTATACTGCATTTGTGTTTATATTGCCATTGTGTCGGTATTTTATACCATTTATTTCCACGGCAGGTGCTGAATCATCCCAAAGAATTTAGCGATTCGTTGTCTATAATAATCTGTATAGTCCTTGTGGCTTAGCGCTTCTTTTTGATTATAATAATAAATTGTCTATAATAATAATAATAATAATATAATAATAATAATAATAATAATAATAATAATAATAATAATAATAATAATAATAATAATAATAACAATAATAATAATAATAATAATAATAATAATATTATTATTATTATTATTATTATTATTATTATTATTATTATTATATATTATTATTATTATTATTATTATTAATCACTCTTCCTATTAAGAGAAATGTTTCATCGCCTTATTTAAACATGTTTGTAACGTAAGGAAACAGCGATCTACTAATAAACAAAATTCGTATAAACATCTCATTTATAATTTAAAAATGACTTATTTCAAGAGTTACGACAAGTTTATGGTTGAGAAGACATGTCTTTGAATGACATTCCCGTCCTGGGGGAGGAGTGGGTCTCCTCCGTCCTGTGGGACATGGAGCTCAGGATCGGGTCAGGCAGTTACGGAAACTGCTCTTTGGTGACGACCCTTGAGGGGACAAAGTTAGTGCTGAAGAGATTCTTCAGAGCTGATCTGTTCCTCGTGGCCGAGGCTCTGAACCTACAAGGTGTACAGGGTATACCAGGGGTCCAGAGGCTTGTGGGTGTGTGTGTCACCAGACTGCAGCTGGTCACGCACTACGCTGGGTCGCTCAACCTGTGCTCCAAGTCTCTTACCCTCAGCTAAAAGCTACATGCTCTGGAGCAGCTGCTGAACACGGTGCAGGCCCTACACTCTCAGGGTATCTCACATAATGATTTACACATGAGCAACATTTGTTTGCTGCATATTGGCGAGGAGGTGGAAGTAACCATAATTGATTTTGGGTTGGCGTCCAATGATTTAAGTAATGGTTATGATTTGGACAATATATCCCGCAACATCAATAGCATGGCGAGAGGAATCCTTGACTTCCCAGAGGACCTCTTGGACTGGGCCAAGAAAGAAAATACAAGCGAGTCCAGCCTTCAGGACGCTCTCTCGATATTACATAGGCTGCGCTCTAGTCTCTTTTAGAGTCAGGTGATCCCACCTGACTCTAAAAGAGCCACCTCCTCCTGTCCACAAAGATCCACAGGTGCGGCACTTCCTCACAAGAGAAAAAGAACGACCTCTTGTCCACAAGGATCCACAGGTGCGGCACTTCCTCACAAGAGAAAAAGAACGACCTCTTGTCCACAAGGATCCGCAGGTGCGGCACTGACTCACAAGAGAAAAAGAACGACCTCCTGTCCACAAGGATCCACAGGTGCGGCACTTCCTCACAAGAGAAAAAGAACGACCCCTTCTTGTTCACAAGGATCCACAGACGCACTACTGCCTCACCAAAGAAAAATAACCACCTCTCCAACTGATCCCTGAGGGAGGCTCGATCACCCGTCCGCTAAGCAGAGTTATGCTCAACCCTCGTACACCTGTTTTGTTTGAGGGAAGGAAAGTTTAATGAGGAAAAACTCTTACAGAAAAAAGTGCATTTTTCCAAGAGTTTTCATCGCTATTTTATTATTATATTTATGACGTCATCAAAATGACGCGCTGATACAAAGTGTTATTTTCGTTACATTTATTTTTTTTTTCCGTATATTATTAGTTTTGTGTCAATGTTAAAAAAATACACTACATGGCATCTTCTCAAACTACTGGATTTTACAGGATAGATCACAGTGTCCAACCAGCCAGTTACCCACATAATGCCGAGATAATGTATGCTGCTCATCGCTCCTCCTTACTTCGTTGACTTGGGGATTATCAGTCGAAATAATAAAAAAAGTCATGATTTTATTTTTTTGGCAAACTTCTAGTATACACTTCTGACTACCTTAACGTACAATAAAAAAAAATAACTGAAACCAGAGTAATATTAAAAAAATTCCTAGTACAACCCTGCTCCCCACCTTGAAGCTCCAGTTCCCCGAATTAAGCCTGAATGTCTTCCACATCCCCCCCAGGCGCTGTATAATCCTCCGGGTTTAGCGCTTCCCCCTTGATTATAATAATAATCCCCACCTTGAAGGACATGACGCTGACAGCTCTGTGAACCAACACACGTGTAGAACAAACTTAAGTTTTTACCGAAAGCAGAAAGACAGGCAGCTGAAAGTAGCCACGCTAAGATCAACGTATAAAACTAGATGAAGGTCGTGACCAAAATTAACCAGGAATAAGGTGACGTAAAGAGACTTGGGGAGCCAAGACCAACGACACTACCTCTCAGTTGCCTCTTGCTGCTTGTGGGCACATGGCCAGGCTGGTCTATCTCACATCCCCTGCTGCATCGCTGATCACTTCTCTGCCCTCACATGAAAGTGTAACATATAATTAAGCAGTGATTTCCCTTGGAGTGTGAAATGTTACGTGAATATGTTGAGCTAAGAAGGCTCGGTATAGGAAGCTATTGATATTCTGAAAAGTTTTGAGCCTAGTGTTTGTGTGTTGGTAACCAGGCTGTCCCCAAGACGTTTATAGAAATTGTGACACCCGCCAACAGTCCTCTACACGTGTTACACTCACGTGTTACAGTAACAGCTGGGTGTAACACCTGCATTCCTGTAAATGTATTGCCATTTCAGTTGTAACACCTGCCAGCATTCCTCTAAATGAGTTACACTTTAGGCGTTATTTTAATGTATGTCAGCCTCCTCAAGGTGTTACTCTCTTAGATGTTGTTGTAACACCTGCCATGGTTTATGCTTAGTTTTGATTATAATAATAAAGTAACACTGAATGATTCGCCGGTACTGTTCCGGCCCGACGAGTCTTTTCCAGATGGTGGCCCGGCGACCCCTGCCAGCCATATATTGTCCTGTCATGTGGGTTTCGATAACGTGGATGGGGTAAGAATATTCACGTAGGCTGGTATACGTATAATATAACGGAAAGTATGGGAAGGCACCAACAGCCGACCTGCCTCTCTCTGCTTCCTATCCTGACTGACTCACAGTGCCTATGGGTGAGGGTGTTTGAAATCCTGCTATGGTCAGCAGCAATATGAATACAGTCAGTGATTCACGCAGAGACGGTTGGTAGTGAGTCATCTACTGGTACACTGGTTACTGGTAACTGGTTACTAGGAACTGGTACTACTACTGAGAGTCCTTCAGGTGTTGAACACATGACCACCGTTTTGATGTCTTCGTCCAACGTCAAGCATTAGGGCTCCTTGCCGTCTATTTTTGATTCATGCTTCAGTTTGCAGTGTATGCAGATTGTCAAGATTTTTTGTTCTTTATCGTAAATAGTCTCGTGACTGTGATACTTTTTTCTTTAATTGTTTAATTATTATGTTTGTAATGTATTTAGTTACCAGCTGACCACTAAATCCATGGGGATCCATTAAACTCTCGAGACCTTGATTTGAAAGCCTAATACTCTTTTATGAATCGATTTTGTGTTATTGATATGTTTAGCTTTTGATTGAAGTGCTTATTCGTTAATTTACAATATTCAGAAAGCTAAATAGTTACTAAATGAAACAGTACATGTGCAGTTTTGGTAAGTAATCAACATGCAAGTGCTCTGACATGAATTAAATTATAGTTATTGTCCTTTCAATAGATGTGCCTTGAAGCTGGAGAAGAACTTGATCCAAGGAACTGGAGTTACCCTCCCCTTGGATAAAACCTTATTACCTACCATACCCCAGGGGCTGTAAAACCCCTACGGATTTAGTGTTCCCCATTTTAAGAATGTAAAGGTTATGGTAACTACTGGTCACGTCAGTGACTATAACCATCTAATAGCAAGCTCTTTACAGGCATATCACATGCTATTGACTCCATAACAACATCTCCCACACTGGCTGACTCGAGAGTAGTGCAAGTGAATACACTCTACTCACTGATCATTATAAATGGTAAGAGAATTTTCTGTCTCCCTGGTAGTGACTAGGAAATATTTTTATTATTGTGATTGCACATTTAGTAACTAACCCGTGAAATAGCTATATGAGTATTGGTAGAAATATATTTTTGGTAGTCTATGTCAATCCTAAAGAAAATGCAATTAAGAAGCTAGTCAAAACGTTAACTATGTTGCCCTAAACCTGTTGTCTCTGTTCACCTAGCAGTAAATAGGTACCGGATCACATCACAGGGAGAATGTTAATATCTGAAATGAGCTGAGGCAGAATAAGAGCTTTAAGGCTATAACTTCAACTCTGTAAAAAAAAAAAATAGTAACTATTTTTACCTTTTCCTAACCCTGGCCGGCCAAAGGAAAACGACAACCCTGAGGAATGCAAAGTGTGTATCGTCAACTATGACAAAACTAAACATCGTCCTCGCACTTTACCGTGTGGACACACATTTTGCTCGCTGTGTCTCACTGGTATGATTAAGAAGGACAACCTCACCTGCCCCACCTGCCGTGTCCAACATAAAGCTTCATCCGCTACCCAGTTCCCCATTAGCTATGACATGGAAGCCATCATACGAAAACTGAAAGTTTTGCAGCTGACAGTAACACCATCACAGCCTAACGAGCGACGATCATTGATACAGGAGAAGGAGGACAGCATCAGTCGACTCCTTGGCAGTTTTCAGGAAGCTGTGATCCAGCTTGAGAGATACGAAGCGCAGCTTCACGACTGGAAGACTCAACATGAGGAACTACTCGCCAAAATCAACGATCTGGCAGAACGAAATAAAGCAGCGTTAAAACTGCTGGAAGATGAGTTAAGTATTTTGCTGTATCAGCGGAAAAAGGGTGAAGAGGGAGTAAAGCGACTGAAGACAACGCAGGAAAGTCTGGCGGCGGCCAATACTACCCTGGAGGCCGCTACAGCCCTGGACGACAGTGACCGCTGCAATGCTGACGTGGAAGAATGGATCCAGAACTGCCAGAAGATCTTTCCCGATATCACTACTATCCACACCTCCTTGAAAGTAAGCTGTTTATTCTTCAAGGACGGGTTCCTTGATGCTGGGGAAGGACTCTTAATACTGGAATCAAATCTGATTACCTCATGTTACCCATGTTATCTATGACCCTTACGAGTTTAGTGTTTCCTTATAAATATAATATCACGAGTGCAGCAGAAGCATCTTAGCCAGTCTTCGTTTATGTAATGCAGCTGCTTCACTTTTGTTTATCAGTGATATCAATCAAAATAAAAAAATTGGTTTCTAGGGGCAGGGCCTCCTTAAAATAACATTATAACTCTAGCGCACATTATAATATCTAGTCATACGTTCTAAATTAGAGCCGAATTCGCTGAGGTGCTTTGGAGTTGTGACAGTGATATAGCTGGAAAACTAGTACAATAAACAAGATATATTCACACCTATATGTTTCCTGTGATAGCCATGTTTATATTCCAACTGGGGAAACTTACTGTGTATAATAGTCATAAACTTATACTCCAGTGCCTGTTGCTAAAGGCATTAAGAGGAGTTTTAAGATATAGAGAACAAGTATATCAATGAAACTAAAAATGCACCAAGAAGACGTTTTCATTAGAGATGTTTGTATACAGGTGCGGGAATCGACCAAGAGGGCCCTGGAGATGATGGCAGACACTCACACACCTGAAGATGCTCCACCTCTCCTCGGAGACGCTAACTACACCATCATGGAAAAAGTGGATCAGCTGGCGCCAATATTATCAGTAAGTTCAAATGTATACATAAAAAAAAATGACAGACCTTCAAGACTCAAGGCTAGAAGATTTTTTCTAAGAATGTTTGAGAATCTAGAAAGATGGTGTAATAACGAATTTTGACATTTATAACCTACATGGCTACTAGAATTATATATTTAAGTATATTAACCCCTTATGTGGAACTTCCTATAATCAAAATTTGTACACATTAGTCACATAAAAAAATGAAAACTATATGTGAAAATGGCCTTGCATCAGATTTAGAACACCTCGGCTTTTTAAAAATATAACTATATACACTGCGGGGTTTGTCTTTCAATGTATATATACGGAGAGTTTAGTTCCTCTTTTATGGATTTGACCCTTATGGGTTTAGCGGTTAGTTATGAATAATAATAATAATATATCATTGATTAAAGTATTCCTTAATGGTAGAGAGCAGGTGACACGCAGCCTTAATGACCCTTAATAGTCGATAGGCTTGAAGCCCCATTAACCAATCAATCAACCAGAAAAAAAACAGTTAATGAGATTAATACTTTCACTAGATCGAGAACCTCAGAAGGCTGAGTGGACCTGTTAAGGCTTTGATAGAGGGAGAGAAGGTAGTTGCTGTCCAACAGGACCAAGGTCGCCAGCTTTCGTCTCGCATCACTCTACACCGAGGACGGCTGCATCTGCACACGCTCTTGGACCAGCCTACACCAGTCCATGCCCACACTCTCGAGGTAATTGTTTCACACCTAACACGAAATTAACGCCTCTCATATCTTCTGCATTTTGACGTCCTGAGAATTAAAACAGTATGGTAAGAAGCCGATTACAGAGGAATCTTTATTGTGCAACATTAGCAGACTGGCGATCAAGCTTCCACTGCTTGTTCTGAGTGACCTACATGGGTTTAGGGCTTCACATAAACATTTAAGGAATTGCATCATATAATTTAATTTTTTTTCGTTTGTTGTAATAAGATAATTTTGTATCCTTTATTATATGGATTTTAATCAACTTTTTTTCCAGCACGGGACACTAATGAGTCTATTAGATCGTCGGTCCACTCTGGTCTTCCTGGATCTCGGCTGGGCTGGAAATCCCCGAGGGAGAGTCTACATTCGCCTGAGCCCTGATACAGGACTCGCTAAACAGTTCCTCTTAATGTGCACTGGCCTGCGGGGTGTCACCTACGCCAACACGCGCATACTGGAGGTGTGGAACAAGGGCACAGAGTTTGAGATGGTGGGAGGCGGGGACTACGAGTGTAACAATGGCCAGGGAGGAACACCTCTTCTGGAGGGGCTGACCAACTGTGAGGCGTATAAGAGACCAGCAAGAGCTGGCACGGTTAGAGCTCTTCACGGCCCTGAGAGCAACAAGAGTGCTCAGTTCTCAATCACTACCAGAGACTGTGTCAACAGAGAGTGGTATTGGGCCTTCGGCCAGGTGGAAAGCGGCTTGGATGTAGTGAAGACGGTAGCCAGCCACAAGAGTATCAGAGACGTGACAGTGATGGATTGTGGCGTCCTGCTGCCTCCTTGATTCACTTTGTCGTCTCGCTGCTCATCTACATAAAAAAATCAAAATATCTTTGATGGCGCGAGTGAACCCACGTGAGTTCTACTGCCTCGTCGAGACCTCTTCGGACTCTTCGTTGTCCCATTGCTCAAGTTTAACATATATAATGGCACAAGTGAATCCATGTGGCCTCTTTTGTGCCATTAACTAATGCTTAACACACGTCTTTGTTTGGGTCTGTGATACATCTACAATCATCACAGACTGCAAAATTAACTTTGAGCAGCAAATATTTTGATGCAGTAAAGTCGAAGCCTCATCATCAAAACAAAACAAAAATTCTGCTCAAATCTCGCACATACGACCCGGGACGTGCAAGTGCAGTTTTTTTTTTTTTTTTTTTTTTGCCCAGTTACAGTTTTATTTTTTACTTAATATAAAATGCTATATTTTCCGTGTTTAGATTTATGTTTCATGTTGATGTTAAATAACCAGTGAGTTTTTATTGTTAAAATGTTATTTTAAAAGTTCTGTCAATGTAGTTACTGACCAGTTTATTCTTTTAATACAGTTGATTATGAAACATGTGTAAATAAAGAACAACACATACTATTTTCTATCTGGAAATTAAGTCACTTTCCTCGAATCAAACCTGATTACCTCCCATTCCCCAGGCGCTGTGTAACTCCTAGGGCTTAGCTTTTTCCGGAATGTAATAACAATAATAGCAATCATGTTATAATAAAGGTAAGCGCTAAACTCGAAAGGTTCATACAGCACAGCAATAATAATAATTTGGCTATTGCTTCATCGTATGTTACTGTGTATATTGCGTCATACACTTTTATTTATTGTTTCATTATTTTACTGCAACGCTGTGATGGTTCCAGTATCATACTACTGTGTTATGCTCTATTATTTGGTGCCTTGATGCCGGTGGAGGACTCTGAATCCCGGGAAATAGAGCCACCCTCCACTTTCTTCGGATCAAGCCTGATTGCCTCAGTCTCCTGGCTCTATGACCTCCCCGTGTGGGTTTAGCTCTTACCCAAGGCATCCAGGTTGGTCAGATTTGCCCTTCAGTTGGCTATGATGGTCAGTGGGCTAGAGAGCCTATCAACTACA